CACCGACGGCCATCTCCCTAAGTGGTCCCAGGCCTCCATCATAAAACAAGGCCTGCCCCCACGGCAAAGGAAGATGGTAGAAGCGGCATGCATACACCGCAACGGGGAGCCACGAACTAGCCAAGGTCGTCGCTCACCTGATCACCAACGTGACCTAACTGCCTATTACATGTGCAGAAGAGGGCGTTGTTGTTGTATCCCCTGGATACAGCGAATACATGTTAAGACAAACGCTTAGTGAGACTGGCGCCCGTCTCACAAAAGTATAGCTTATTGCAGGAGGCACAAGGAACAGAATATGTGCCCACCTTCGAGGTAGAGGGAGGGCTAGTGTGGGCCAGGTTGTGACGGAGAACCTGGCGAAAGATCAGCCTACAGTTGAGAGGGTGAAGAAGGCGACGGAGAGAGTAGATCTCCTCTATAAAGGACAGACTGAGGACGGACAGGCGAGGAGTCTCTTTAGGAAAGGAGTCGCGGTAGAAGGTACGCCACGCCCTGGATAACGCGACGTCAAGAACATGACGAAGTTGCCAGTATGGAGAGGTAACGACGCAGGAAGTCGATCTCTCCATCCAGGTTTACAGATGCGGAGGGCACAGAGGAAAAACGAGATTATACATGTTACACAGAGAGGATGGTACGAGAAGTGTATATACATGCTACTGTGCATAGGCTTCATTTATATGGAGAAGGAAAAGTAGTCAGCAGAGAGATTAAAAGAAGCTTGTTGTCAACCTCCCATTCCCATTCACCTTGAAACGGATGAAGTGAGAGTGTGAGGGAGAGAGAGAGTGAGTGAGTGAGTGAGTGAGTGAGTGAGTGAGTGAGTGAGTGAGTTAGTTAGTTCAGCTGCACCAGGAAACCCGAAAACAGGGCAGGGTCATGGGACCAGAGAGCAAAGGCGTCGTCGACATACCTCAGCTAAACCGAAGGTTTAAGTTTGTGCACTGTGGGTTTTTCTAATATTTAAATATATATGTATATATATATATATATATATATATATATATATATATATATATATATATATATATATATATATATATATATTTATTACACACACACACACACACACACACACACACACACACACACACACACACACACACACACACACACACACACACACACACACACACACACACTCACACACACACACACACACACACACACACACACACACACACACACACACACACACACACACACATATATATACATATATATATATATATATATATATATATATATATATAGTATATGTATGTATACATATACATGTATATATATATATATATATATATATATATATATATATATATATATATATATATATATATATATATATATATATATATATGTATATGTATGTATACATATACATGTACAAACACATATATGTAGATATACATACATATACATATACATATACATATTTTCATATACATACATTTATATACATATATTTGTATACACATATCTACATACATATATTGATATATATAAAATTATATATTGCATATATATTCATATACATAATATAAATACATGTATTTATAAATGCATATACATGTACATACATCCAATCTGCATAGATAAAGGTAAGGGTACTTTGGCCAAGGAGATCATTCTAAAACTACAGGGTTTACTGGAGTGCCAAGTAGTATATATATATATATATATATATATATATATATATATATATATATATATATATATATATATATATATATATATATATATATATATATATATATATATATATATATATATATATATATATATATATATATATATATATATATATATATATGTATATATATATATATATATATATATATATATATATATATATATATGTATATATATATATATATATATATATATATATATATATATATATATATATATATATATATATACACGCATATATATTTATTACACACACACACACACACACACACACACACACACACACACACACACACACACACACACACACACACACACACACACACACACACACACACACACACACACACACACACACACACACACACACACACACACACACACACACACACACACACACACACACACACATATATACATACATACATACATACATTGGGAGTTGGGACATTTGAGATTCAAAGGTAACAAATTCATTGGGATGGGAAAGGGAAAAAAAATAACTGTGATCCAACAGTGAAGAAAGATGCATACAACTATGCATGGGACTGTGGTTTGAAAGGGAGGTACAACATATGGGGTTTTCTGAAGTACAATATATGGGTTTTTCTGACGAGACTTAGAGGGAGCATGAGGGAGATACAAAATGGTAATTGTGAACTGGTATAATAGGACGTGTAAGAAAATTCAGTTCGAGGCAGATAATGCATGTGTTATAAGAAGAAAGGATATGACGAAGGTCAGGTCTGTGAGAATGGAAACCGCAAATATTCCAATGTAGGAGAGCTTAGTTGATCTATGAGTGATAACGGTTACAGTGCGTGTTGGAGAATTTGAAGGGAAAGGAACTAGGGGGTGAGATAAGGATTGAGAGGGGGAAGGTGGTGTAGTATCAGGAGGGGTATCAGGAGGTGGAAGATCTGGGGAAGGGTATAGCTGTAACGAAAGGGATTCATGTGTGTATCCAGGAGGGAATGGAAGGGATAGAGGGGATGGAGGGAGGGTTAACCCATTCACGCCGGATGTCATGTATACTATACATGACATGCCCACTGTGAGTTTACTTGTTTAATTCTTTTTACACATAGATGGCTACACTTGTTGCGAGTACTGCCTGTCTTGCACATTTACCCTTTTCTTTAATATACGAAAATATTTTACGTTATCTTATTTTGCTGTTCCTAATGTTTATAACATTATAGTAATTATAATGTTTATAATAAAAATAACCATCGATATTCATAGCACTAGTAAAAAATACATTTTCCCGCCAAATGGAATCAGGTAAGGCAGAGCCATCTATGTGTAGAGACAAAAAATGAGCACAGCATTTTTCCCATTTTTTGTTCATTTTTACCCGTCGCGAATGGGTTAATGTAAGTGGAGCTGGGGCTGGGGGGGGATGGGCTGTATTGGGAGGGAGTAGGAGGAAGGGGTGTAGGGGGGAATATGAGTAGGAGGGGGGGAAGGTGTTGGGGCTTCAGTAAAGACTGGGGTGTCTGGATTTAGAATGGCAAAAGAATTTGACTGAGGAAGATTGGAAGTAGAAGTGGGGAAGTAAGATGTAGGAGGGATAGGTGTAGGGGTGGGTGAAGGAACATCTTAGGAGGGAGAGGGAGGGGCAGACTGAGCAACATTACTGGAGTAGGGAGTAAGAGAAAAACTGGCTTCACGTAGAACGAGACCAAGCCTGAATCTGAGAGTTGCCATCTCAGACTCAAACTTGTAGGTGGAGCAGCCCCTATAAAATACATTATGGGGGTCATCACAGTTGGCACATGTACATGACTGTGCAGAGCATTTTGATCAGTATCACCAGATTGGGCACATAGAGGGCATCGGGATCTGGAACAGCAGTATTTGGCAGGATGTCCTAAATGCTAACAATTTTGTCACTGACAAGGAGGAGGTTGATATGGTCGAACAGGGAGGGATTCTCCATCACTGTAAACATTCAAGGGAAGGTCATGTCTACGGAAACTAATTCTGGTAATGCTGATGAGGTTTTTTCGATGATCACTAGGAGAAATGAAGTAGCACTGTACTGATATCACATAATAGTTCCTGAGGCAAGCAAATAAGTCTTCTCCACAATCTGACCAATTTTTGTTATAGATAGGGCAGCTTGATGGGGAGGTAGACAGTTCCAGTACAAGTATTGAAGGTTGGATGAGGTTCTGCAGGAATGGGATGGCCAGAGAGACCAGTTAGAAATGATAATGCTATAGTTTGGTTTTCAGATGTTACTGTGACAAGATGTGAATGGTCAGGTCGGCTACAGAAAGAGACTTTGCCTAGTTGTTTTTGGAAACACGGCTGGAAGAGAAGACTGTTGTCAGAGTAAGGAGCTGTGGGGGAATCACAAAAAAATGGTCCTACTTGGCTAGGCTAAATACGAGTATTAATGATATTTGTAGAAATGGGGGTGGTAGAAGGATGGGGATGTGTGAAAGAGGTAGTAGTGTTGCAGGAGGTAATATTACAGAGAGGTGGACAATTAGGCTGTAAAGTACTAATAAGGAAGGATGGGATGATTGATGAAGAAGGTTGTGGGGGTGGAGGTGATGAAGTTGAGAATGTTGGGAGAGTAGGAATGTCTCCTGGAGATTGAGTGTTGCCTTGGGTGGATAATGTACTACTATGTATTGAGGAGGGGGTAGTAGTTGCAGTATTCAGAATCATGGTCAAGGGAGAGCCTGGGGTCAGGGAACTGGGAGAATTGGAGTTGGTGGGGTTATTTGATGAAGAGACAAGCCTCACTGCCCCTAACAAGGATATAACGTCTTCATTATTAGCCATAGTAAGCTTAGAGCATGATGGGGAGAGAAACAGTCCACCCCTCATTGTCCCTTTGAGTGGTAAGGGCTAGACAACTAAAACAGGGGAATACCGTCCCTATGGTTCCCTCAGGCTGTTCAGGACTGGCACAAAGTCAATCTTTCATCCTTTCAGCACGGGTCTCACACCTTAGGAAGTGGATAGTAGAAGAAATGGAAACAAAGAGAGGGAGGGAAAAGACTGTGCAAAACTAGCTGAGTCAAGGGCTGAGGCCCAAGGCAGGGGAGATCCCTAGTCCTCACCTCCTAAGCCCCCCACAACAAAAACAGGCAAGGGACTGGAAGGGGGGGGGGGGTTACTAATTTTGATGAATTTAATAATAATCAAAAAAAGTTTAGAATGCACATACAGAGTCTTAAAACTGAAAGTAACAATGGCATAATGCTGGGATCTTTTTATACTTCTTTTATATTTCATTTGAAGATCTACTTAAAAAAAAACATTAAACCTGTTCAATAAGTCACTGTCAATAGCTTTGAGAAAAATTTATTTGCAACACAGTTCCCACAATGCAACATCTAAAACAGTAATGAAAAAAAAAAAAAAAATATCCCATACACATCAGAAAAATATATGTATATATATAGGCTTCAGAACTCTTCTTTTAAATGCATGTATAAAATTTGCAAAAAGTTTATCATTTCATGGACACATTTCTTTTTCATGTTTATTTAACATAATACCATGTCTGGGTGTTATTTTATATGGTGTAGAAAAAATCAACATATTTCTGTGAAGAGGGCAAACAACATACTAAAAATAACAAGGATTATCAACACTAAACATCAAACCAAAACAATTACAAATACCTATTACTACTGATCTTTTAAACTCATATGCTACTCATAAACATCACAATCTAAGGGGCAAAAAAATCAATTTCATACCATTATTTTTTAAACCTGTAGAAAGATAAAATTTCCAAAGTCATAAAACAACTCATTACAACTGGAAGTAAACGTTTTTTCACCATTAATCTTTAACCATTTAAATCTGCATTTTTCTTTTTGAATCTTTCCAGAATACAAACTGTGAACAGTACAATTTTTATATTTCTCAATGACTGGTGACACTGCATTCTGTGGTTATCAATTACGTTCTCTTTTTTAATTTTGCTGCAAGCTCAATTTTAAATTGTAGTAGCACTCATTCACTAATACAAAGCTTTTTCTCTTCTTAGTTTTCCAGTATTTACAGGACTTTTCTGGATCTCTTTCTTAAAGTTCCATCATTTTTATTGTCTTAAGCTTGTGACAATGTAAAGTAGAAAAAAAGTCTAAAAGGCTGTTTCTGAAGCAGCTCCCCTGTCTAACACCAAACTTATACATAACAATGTCACCTTTTGTCTTCCCTCCAAATCATTCTTTGTCAACTTTTATCTACTCATTATTCCACTCTTAAGACTTTCTCCTTTATTTCTTTTATATAAATTTATATGCTTCCTCTCCTCGTTCTCTCACTCTCCTAATGACTAATTGCTTCCCACTTCCTTCTCCAGCTCCTCTATCTGCAGAATGAGCTCAGCTTTCTTTTTGACCTTCTCTCGCTGCTCCGGTTCAGGGTTCTTCAGCTCTCCACTCTCAATCTGTCTTTCCAACTTCTCTGTGTCTTTCAACTTCTTCCTGAGATTACGTAACCGCTTGGCAGGGTCTGTGGCCACGGCTTGCTTCTTGCCTGTGGAGGAGAAGCAAACTGCACATGAGTTGGGTCAAAAGAATAACAGTTGGATTTAGGGGATAAAAAAAAAAAAAAAAAAAAAAAAAAAAAAAAGGTTGAATATCTTCATAATGTAAGATGTACAGTTTATGTTTTGGTTATCATATAAAAATTATATAATCTGATGAAGTGCAGTTTCTATCAATTACAATATGCAATTATTCAGTCATCCATAGTTTTTAACAAAAATCTGTTAAATTTACTAATTCACTATTGAGAAGTTCCTTCACTGACTATTACATACAATTTCTATATGAATTCCTATGGGGATTTTTTTTTTTTAATAATCAAGCCCTAGCCTATATATGTGTTGTTCACATCATGGCTGACTTGGGTTGTAGCTCTGGGTAATACGCTACTCATGTCATGGCTAATTTGAGCATGGCTCCAGGGGGACAGGTCATTCACATCATGTTACTATGATGTCTCCACTATATTTTATGCTGCTCTTTACAAGGAACCCTCTTGCACACATGTCACATACCCTGGGACACTACTCGGGGGAGAACAGGATGTGTAATGGTTTGACTAGCTATTGTTTTGCATAAAAGGGGCGATATTAAAACATAAATAATTTCCCTGCTATCCCTGGAAGAATTCACACACCATAACACTGCCCTCTCTTGATGCTTCTGTGAACCTGTAAGTACTTTTCCCTGTAGTTTACATGATCAGTCTCCTACTGTCAATTACCCACATTGTCATATGGTACTCTGCCAGTGTGACCTCCTTTTGCAAAGGAACAAAAGGAGGAGAAGGAACAGGAGGAGGAGAAGGAACAGGAGGAGGAGAAGGAACAGGAGGAGGAGAAGGAACAGGAGAAGGAGGAGGAGAAGGAACAGGAGAAGGAGAAGGAACAGGAGAAGGAGAAGGAACAGGAGGAGGAGAAGGAGCAAGAGGAGGAGAAGGAACAGAAGTAGGAGAAGGAACAGGAGGAGGAGAAGGAACAGGAGGAGGAGAAGGAACAAGAGGAGGAGAAGGAACAAGAGGAGGAGAAGGAACAAGAGGAGGAGAAAGAACAGGAGAAGGAGGAGGAGAAAGAACAGGATAAGGAGGAGGAGAAGGAACAAGAGGAGGAGAAGGAACAAGAGGAGGAGAAGGAACAGGAGGAGGAGAAGGAACAAGAGGAGGAGAAGGAACAGGAGGAGGAGAAGGAACAAGAGGAGGAGAAGGAACAGGAGGAGGAGAAGGAACAGGAGAAGGAGAAGGAACAGGAGGAGGAGAAGGAACAGGAGGAGGAAAAGGAGCAAGAGGAGGAGAAGGAACAAGAGGAGGAGAAGGAACAGGAGGAGGAGAAGGAACAGGAGGAGGAGAAGGAACAGGAGGAGGAGAAGGAACAGGAGGAGGAGAAGGAACAGGAGGAGGAAAAGGAGCAAGAGGAGGAGAAGGAACAGGAGGAGGAGAAGGAACAGGAGGAGGAGAAGGAACAGGAGGAGGAAAAGGAGCAAGAGGAGGAGAAGGAACAGGAGGAGGAGAAGGAACAGGAGGAGGAGAAGGAACAGGAGGAGGAAAAGGAGCAAGAGGAGGAGAAGGAACAGGAGGAGGAGAAGGAGCAAGAGGAAGAGAAGGAACAGGAGGAGGAGAAGGAACAGGAGGAGGAGAAGGATCAGGAGGAGGAGAAGGAACAGGAGGAGGAAAAGGATCAGGAGGAAGAGAAGGAACAGGAGGAGGAGAAGGAACAGGAGGAGGAGAAGGAACAGGAGAAGGAGGAGGAGAAGGAACAGGAGGAGGAGAAGGAACAGGAGGAGGAGAAGGAACAGGAGAAGGAGAAGGAACAGGAGAAGGAGGAGGAGAAGGAACAGGAGGAGGAGAAGGAACAGGAGGAGGAGAAGGAACAGGAGGAGGAGAAGGAACAGGAGAAGGAGGAGGAGAAGGAACAGGAGGAGGAGAAGGAACAGGAGGAGGAGAAGGAACAGGAGGAGGAGAAGGAACAGGAGGAGGAGAAGGAACAGGAGAAGGAGGAGGAGAAGGAACAGGAGGAGGAGAAGGAACAGGAGAAGGAGAAGGAACAAGAGGAGGAGAAGGAACAGGAGGAGGAGAAGGAACAGGAGAAGGAGAAGGAACAGGAGGAGGAGAAGGAACAGCAGAAAGAGAAGGAACAGGAGGAGGAGAAGGAACAGGAGGAGGAGAAGGAACAGCAGAAAGAGAAGGAACAGCAGAAAGAGAAGGAACAGGAGGAGGAGAAGGAACAGGAGGTGGATGTTTAGGAAGAGGAGGAGGAGGAGGATATAAATGATCCTTCAAACAGTAACAAATGATGAAACATTATTACAAAAAGGAAGAAAAAACAAACAAACAGGAAATGAAAAGGAAAAAACAATGACGTAAAGAAAGGAAAAATAGTGCAACAACAACGGGACCTTCAGCTCTCACCCGACACAGGCTCCGCAATGTGGGTGTCCTCGAGGGCATTTGTGATCTCTGCCTCAGCTGTAGATGCCTTTTTCCTGGCTGCTTTCTTTTTCTGGGACTTGGATAAGCCTCCTGGGGATAAGGAAACAATGAGAAGGGGCCTCAGATATTCAAGAACACATTCCCACATTTACTATTACACTCTCACTCTCACACACCCTCTAGCACTCATTCACTCTCACTTACTTTGACAATCACTCTACTCACACACCCTGTCACACTCACTCTCACTATTACACTCACACTAATACAAACATTCACTCTCCCTCATTCCCCCTCTCCCTCTCTCTCCCTCTCTCTCTCCCTTCCTCCCTCTCCTCCTTCTCCCTCTCTCTCTCCCTTCCTCCCTCCTATCTCCTACTCCCTTCCTCCCTCCTATCTCCTACTCCCTTTCCCTTCCTCCCTCCTATCTCCTTCTCCCTTTCTCTTCCTCCCTCCTCTTTCCTTCTCCCTCTCCCTCCTATCTCCTTCTCCCTCTCCCTTCCTCCCTCCTAGCTCCCCTCCTCCCTCCTATATCCCTTCCTCCCTCCTATCTCCCTCCCTCCTTTCCCTCTCCCTTCCTCCCTCCGAGCTGTCTTCCTCCCTTCCCTCTCCAATATTTCATTCTCTCCCTTTCCCCCTCTCTCCCTCACTTTCTCCCCTTCCTCCCTCCTATCTTCCCATCACCTTTCCTGACTTCCTTTCTTCTCTAATATTTCTGTCAGTACTTTTCCTTAACGCCTCCTCCACTTTTTCCTTCCTTTCCACCCTACTTTATTCTTTCGTCCTCTCCTTTCCTTGCCTCCTTTCCCAACTCTTTTTCCCTTTCTATCCCATTCATTCCACTTATTCTCATTCTCCACCAGCTAGAGGAGGGAGAGTAAGGTTCTGAATTGAAAAGCTCCCTTCCTTCCTTCTTTCCTTCCCCTTTGCCCTTACTTTCCTCTTTTCCTTCCTTCCTTCCCCTTTGCCCTCACTTTCCTTTTCTCCTTCCTTCCTTCCCCTTTGCCCTCACTTTCCTCTTTTCCTTTCTGCCTATCCCTCCCTTCTTTACCTTCCTTCCTCCCTT